CTTCTGTCCCATGGGTGGATTGTTCTCACTGTCAGAAAATTTCTCCTTATTTCCAGGTTGAATTTCTCCTTGGTCAGTTTCCATCCATTATTCCTTGTCTGGATTTTGGGTGCTTTGGAAAATAGCTTGACTCCCCTCCTCTCTGTGGCAGCCCCTCAAATATGGGAAGACTGCTCTCCTGTCTCCCCTGGTCCTCATCTTCCCTAGACCAGCCATGCCCAGTTCCTGTAACTGGCTATTGGCCCGTTTTGGCTTTCCTTGGCCTAGTTTTGAGGCTTTTTTCAGCCAGTTTTTGAGGGTTTTTTTAGCCCATTTTTTCTTTGAAAAACTGGCTGAAAAAAGCCTCAAAAATGGGCCAAGAAAAGCCTCAAAAATGGCTCTCCAAAAAGCCTCAAAACGGGTAAAAAAAAAAACTTCCAAAACGGGCCGAAAAAGGCCTGAAAGAGGAGTATGTGAAGGGCAAAAAATGGCCGGCAGGTGGGCAAGGCGTCTGCAATATTTGGTTTATAAGACGCACAGACATTTCCACCTCCTTTTGGGAGACAAAAAAGTGCATCTTATAGTCCCAAAAAAATATGCGGTATGTTCGAGGGGAACCTTTACCGTCATTATAATTATGGTATGTAACCCAACGTCTCTATTCCAGGGAGGAAGGGGTTCCTAGTGGCCTGAAGATGCCTGATTTTCTTTGAGGACTTCCAAGAAGCCAAGATGGATAAAATCCTGGAAGCGATCCTGGCTTCTTCCTACCCCGATCACATGAAGCAAGGCCTGGTGAGGCGCATCATCGAGGCTCTGAAGAGGACCATGGACACCGAACAGTGTTGGTCAATGCTGGAGCTTTCCACCAAGCTCTTCCTCTTGGGCGACACCAAATTCAAGAGGTCCGTTGGCAAGGAGATCCTGGAAGTCTGTGGGCTTTACCACCAAGAGGCCTTCGAGGAATTCTTCAATGCCCAGTTCCTCTTAAGTCTTCTCCAGGAAGGCTATGGACCTCTGGGGAAGAGGAGTCTCTACGTGTTCGACTACATACACCTTGGACTGCCCTTCGTGATGGACGGCCCGTCGGCCAACGACGTCTTCAGCCTACTGAGGACCGAAGTCCTGCGGAAGATCTGCGAGCGGCCGGGCCTGAAGCAATGTGTGAAGATCAGCAAGCTCTTAATCCAGTACCCTCTCTGCGTCCCCACCGGCAAACGCCAGGTCCTCTTCTGCCAACAGCTTGTCCAATGCATCGGGCAGTTCCACACCACCTCGGGCAGGGAAGAGGCCATCATGGAGTTCTTGGACCAGGTGATCCAAGTCAGCCTTTTGCTGCAGAAGATCTGGAAGACTCAGGTGGCCTCCATCCTTCCCTCCCTGAAGGAGCTCTTTGCCATCATTTCAACCATCGGTAGGGATGGGTTGTCTGTCTTTGGATAGGATACCTTATTGTCATGGTACATATACACACCGTATAGCCCCGGGATGGCGAACCTATTGGCACGCGTGCCACAGGTGGCGCCTGGGGCTATTTGCTAGGGCACGTGAGGCGCTGCCCTATCAGCTGGCCAGCGCGCATGCGTGTGATGGCCAGCTGAGTTTGGCCTTCTTATGAGGCCGTTTTTCATCCTTGAAGCCTTGAAGGGCGAAAAACCGGCCGTGCAGCCTAACCGAAAGTTCAGGAATAGACTTCCGGTTTGCTCCTAGGACCGTTTTTCCCCCACTGTGGGTTCTTGGTGATGTCTGAACTTGGTTGTTCTCTTGCAGTTTTATTACCTAACTAGGTAATAGCATAAGTAGTAGAAGTGAGTGGGTTTTGTCACAAGGAGGGGCAGAAGGAGGAGGAGGAGGAGGAGGAG